TTTCACTAACAGTACTAATAACTCAATTAATAATCATTAGCGCAGAAATAATTAGTTTAATCGCATAAATCTAATGGCATATAATTGCCAGCAATGAGTTAGTAATCGATTAAATCTATGTCGAGCTACGAAACAAAATGACTAAACTTATCGTCACATCTTTTATCAAAAAAGACATTATATTTTGTTTTATATTTGCTTTTCTTCTAATAAAAAAGTAATTCATAAAATTCTATTCAAAGAGATTCACACAACGCTTCAAAACCATACATATTTTTAAACCACAATTCTGTGCAGCAATATTGCGGTTATAGAATTCAGTTTAACCGACTTGTGTCACACCCCTTAATTGCAACAACAAGGGATTCCGTGTTTAGTTTAAACATAATACTTGATCTATGTTTTATGATAATTCTATGCGTAATATTAATCCTATGCGTATTGATGTACAGTAATTGTTGTCGGTATACAAATAATTTTTGTAAATATAATTCCGAATTAATATTCCTAAATAGTGGTAAAAATTTGTGAGCAAACATTATTTTAAGTGTTTATGCACTAAATTATTTTAGATATCAATTAAAAACTAGGCCTAAGCGGCAGTGTTTTGTGATGTAACCGCCTTTGATCACAAATTAGCCAATACACTCTAGCCTCGAGTTTATATCGGGATAAATTGGCTGCACTGACAGGTTTTTATTATACCTGTGTTTGTTAGTAGATATTACTGTATTTACAACAACTCGTTTAATTCTATGAGACGGCAGAGACAGCAATTCAGAGACTTCTTTATTTCTTAGATTAATATTTTATATCAACTGAAGTAAAAACTATACAAATATAAAATTTATATCAATACTATTGAATAAACTCTATGAATCCCATAATACTGTACAACAGATTCTTGTAATAAAGAATCGCAAAATAAATTATCGATCGCTATATCTTATAAAATAAGATTATTTAATAAAATATCTTTTATATCCATTGTGTTTATTATTTAACTGAATTACAAATGTTTATACATTAATTTGATTAAACCTTTTTTCATTAATACACGAAAGTGAAGCACTTGTTTTGTTTAATAGTTTTGAAGTAAAAATAATTTGATAAAACAAAAATAAATTTAATTAATTTCTCGATTCATGTAAACGTTACGAAATGTTTTTCGAGAATTACAACACTTTTATGTTATGATGAGTTTAATAATTAAATTATTAAGAAATTATTAATAGATAATTTCAAAATATATAAATTATAATTAAATTAAAATGAGGGTATAGTCTGTCAGGCAATTATTGTTTGGCAATTTGTAAAAACTAAAAAAGGTTTTATGTAATACACAAATCAAAAATATTTCAATCACTGAAAGGGATTCAGTCGATAGACTTTTCAATCATGTTTTGTAATAAAGAAATTCTTTCCATTGAATTAGATTTTGATGGCAAATATTTAAAACGTTATCAAAAAGTAATCTGTTATTTCTCTAAATGTATGAAATAAACAATCAGTACAAATGTTTGTGTCTCTCAATAATATTGTGACATATAAAGAGCACAAATAATTTTGTCCAAAATTAAATTTGGGCAAAATTTTTCAGAATTGTCTGAAGGAATGGCAAATCATTTGTTGCCAATAATAGCACTACTGTTTCGTACAATACATTTAATGATTAATTAAATTTATTGTCATTTGTGTCCAAACCATTAAATATATGATTTTACATGAAATGCCATTAAAAATATATACATTTCTTTTAATCCCAAATGAGTTGAAGACTAAAAGTATAGATAAATTCTTGTCATAAATTCCAAACTCACTTAAAAAAGAAAAACAATTTATTTTCAAATGACATAACGTCTAAGAAATGCTAAAAATAATTAAATTACATAATCATTATATAACATAATTATTATTAATATAATGAAAAAAATAAATGTCTTTGACATTCACATCAATTAATGAGTTTATTATTATTAAAAACTATATTTAATTCATTGTGTGTTTAACTGAAGGACTCGATTAATACTTTAAGTAAATTCACATCAATTGCGCGAATGTCAAGCTTTTAATCAATAAATTGCTTGTGTTTTAAAACAATCGTCAAATGTTTTATTAGAAAAACGCTTTTGTCTATCAATTTATGGCAAACCATACAAATTATTCACATACTATACAAACATTAAAACCAAGCTTTTAATCAATAAATTGCTTGTGTTTTAAAACAATCGTCAAATGTTTTATTAGAAAAACGCTTTTGTCTATCAATTTATGGCAAACCATACAAATTATTCACATACTATACAAACATTAAAACCAATTTTATTTGACAATTATGTTGAAATGTAAAGTGTTTTTACAACATCGACGACAAAGAATTATTTATTCATTTCTTTTATTACTATAGTTTTCAATGGCATTCGAGTCGCTCTTAAAACTCAAAATACATGTTATTTATAACTAGATATAACTCTATATACGGTATTTCTTTCTTAACTTTATATTTACCATCGATTTATACGTTTGAATCGATAAACATATAAAATAAACTCTTATTTTATACGTTAGCGTAGGTCTGAGTAAACGATTGTGTAATAAATATATGTTATATAATATCGCAGCGCAAAAAACACATCGGATTTTTGTTTCTTGCCATAAATAATCAGCCCTTTTCTTGTGTGCCGTAAAATACTATATAATTTATATATATATTTAACAATGAGATTAGAAAATGAATATAAAAAGTACAAAAAGCGCAAATGATTTATACATTATTTTGAGTTGCGATGCAATCATTCATCTGAAGCTTTTAGACCTAGAAATAAGTTATTGTTGTCTTCACTGGTATTTATGAATATTAATGTTCCGCACGTATGAGTGATGATAAACACATCAATAAAAGCGTTATTATAAATTATAATTATATATAACTATATATATATTTTGTTCGCACATTTTGTTTGCCCACAAAGAGAAATACCAATTTTTAAACACTTTATTTCAGGTCTCAATAATTCATTGTCAGACTTAATAAACGCCGGCAATGAGAAGAATAGCAGCGAAACGACTCAGGAATCCTCTGAAATATTAAACATTAAATCCAATGATTCGCTAATCAATCAAAAGAGTGAAACATCATTACAGGAGTTGGAGAACGATATAAATGACAAAATCAATGCCAATATCGCTGTGAATCAGTTGACGGGATTGACCGGCGATGCCATCAATAATAAGCCACAATCGGTTGACACTATAGGATCAGCCAATGATATCGCGGCACCGGATTTTAGTCTCACTACCGGTGCGATTGTGTCGGTAGTGCCCAAAGAGATTGCAAACAATAGCGATAATATTGCTGCCAAAGGTTTGGACGGCTATAATAATCAGACAAATCAGTCGATGATTTCAAGTCCGGTTGTCAGCGAAAGTAAGACTTATTTCTGCCTCTAATTAAAAGGATTTGCATCTGAAATACTGCATGAATTTAATTTAAATACATTTAATTGTATTTTTCAGTACAATAGCAGAAGATTATAATCATTATAATACATGATTAGTAGTCAATTAGTATTCAAACTAATTAATTTTGAACAAGATTTCGTGGCATTACTAATGCATTAGTATCTCATGTATTAAATTCTTCCGAAAAATGTCAGAATTATTTTGACAAAAAAAAGTAGAAAATAAATTTCAAATGAAATGTTTGACAATAATGTTCTCATTTCTATAGTGGCATTACTAATGCATTAGTATCTCATGTATTAAATTCTTCCGAAAAATGTCAGAATTATTTTGACAAAAAAAGTAGAAAATAAATTTCAAATGAAATGTTTGACAATAATGTTCTCATTTCTATTCAGTTGGAAATCATTCGTAAAAATAAATTAAAATAATTTTTCCTGACATTTGCAGACAAGACGGAGACGACAACCAATTTAATTCATACGGAAGAAATGGGTCTATCAATGGGTATATCAAGTTATGGCTCCCATAGGAATAAGCGTTCGTTTCTCTTACGGCCTTTGCGTTCAAATTTGGATGAAATACTGAATATGAGACGACAGAGGAGGGCGACCATGAGGTTCAAGAGGAACTCTAATTACGAAGACTTATTGGCCTCGATATTAGCGCCCGACGACGACAACGACAACGCCGTCGATGACAAGTACGGCACCGAAGACGCCAACGAAGCCCTCAACACAATTGCATTGAATTACATCTTAAGTGACATTAATTCCGATAATACCGACGATAACAACAAGTACTCGGATTTGGAGAGAATAAAACAATATTACGATTACATTTTGCCGCTCATTGAAAACGCCGACAGTAGTAATGCCGGCGACTCCGACACCACGGATGACAATAGTGTTGTTGTCGACGATCTGCCCAACGTTTACGGGGGAGGCTATAGTCAGGCCTCGATTCCAGTCATACCGTATTCGTGGCCCAATCGGTACCAACGGATCAGACGTTCCTATTATAACAGATACCAAAACCCTCTCTCGGTTTATACGGGTTTAAAACGGAAACGAAGTTATTATAAGAATCACATGAGAGGCGGAGAGTGGGGCAAAATTGTGGGCGCAAACAGTGACAGGTCTGCCTACGACGACGAGGCACAGGAGGCCAATAAGATCTATTCGTTGGCCTCACTGTTGGCCACCGATTACGCACCCGTTGTTGACGGCGCTTATGGACAACGGTTTAAAAGGTCGGCCAAACGATTGGCCAAACAATTCAAGCGTTCAGTAAAACCCGATTTTAAGCATATGTGATACCATTTGTATTGTTATTATTAATACAATATTATACGATAATAAGTCGGCACTCATTGGTCTCTTTAAAATATACACTATAACTCAGAATTAAGTTACAATGAGAAATATAGGTGAAAACAATTTGTTAATTTAATTTAGTCATCAAATCAATTTAAATATAAAAGTTTTATAATAACTATTGAAAAGTACATTTAATATGGTACTGAATTAAACTTATAGTTAGATTTAAACAATTACCAATCAATTAATATTTACCAATTTGCAAAACCTGTCATATTTTAAGTGAGTCAAAAGTATTTGCCAAAAAATTAATTATTGTGTTAATTACAATTAAAAGTTACCGAATTTTAAATTTGTTTAACCAAAATATATATTCGTTAAGTGGTAATAATTTCCAAAAGTAATGGTCTGAAATTTTACCTCGAGTGGCCATCGCTACCCTCCCGAAAATAGTGTTAAAACCAATGGGTTGGTCGGCTCGAGGCCCCGCTAGGACTGGCCAGTAGTTTATATAATATTTTTTGGCTTTGAATTTATGCATTGGATGTTTATCTATCATTTTAAATAGTAACATGTAATTTCCCGCCACGTGCTGACCCGTTCCAGACCTAACATTGAAGTCACACATTATCCGTAATGCTTTTCAATGGGGGTTTTAGGGGCGGTTTAGTAATATGTCTGGAACGGGACACCAAATGATGGGAAATATATGTTACTATTTAAAATGATAGATAAACATCCAATGCATAAATTCAAAGCCAAAAAATATTATATAAACTACTGACCAGTCCTAGCGGGGCCTCGAGCCGACCAACCCATTGGTTTTAACACTATTTTCGGGAGGGTGGCGATGGCCACTCGAGGTGAAATTTCAGACCATTACTTTTGGAAATTATTACCATCCATCTAACATATTTATTTGGTAAACGAATTTAAACATGGGCAACTTTTAATTGTTATTAATCCAGTAATAAATATTTTGGCAAATACTTTTGACTGGCTTAAAATATGACAGGTTTTGCAAATTTGATGATATTAATTGATGAGTAATTGTTTAAATCTAATTATGAGTTAAATTCAATAGCACATTAAATATACTTTTCACTGGATATTACAAAACTTTTATATTTAAATTGATTAGATGGCAAAATTAAATTTACTAAATGTGGTCACCGATAATTCTCATTTTTATTTAGTTCTGAGACATAGTGTA